TGGAATAAGTCATTCATCAATTATAGCAATAATTCTGCACAGGCACAAGTATCATCGTTACCATATTACACTCCATCAAGAGCTATACGGAAATGACTTTGAGAATCGCATGAATTTTTGCACTTGGGTTTCAAGAAAAATGCTACCTAGATTACTGAACCAGAATATTAATCCAGACGTATGGTTTCAGCACGACGGAGCTCCACCCCACTATGCCATACAGGCCCGTAATCGTTTGAATAGATTATTTGGAAATAGGTGGATTGGTCGGGGTGGTCCTGTCAAGTGGCCTGCTCGTTCGCCAGATTTGACCCCGCTTGATTTTTTTTTATGGGGATTTATTAAGGATAACGTGATGGCTACTGCTCCTACGACTTCTACGACTCCAGAGAACATGAAAAACAGAATTCGTTCTGCATGTTTATTGGTGACTCCAGCAATGTTACAACGAGTACGAAATTCATTCCGGGAAAGAATGAGGAAATATTTGGAAGTCGAAGGCGGTCATTTTGAACAACTTCTTAGGCATAATAGACGATAGATAATTAAAAATTTGGCGATAAGAATTTTTTTTATTGTAGTTACCTTTTTAGTCATAATTCCATATTTAGTTGAACAATTTGAAAAATAATTTGTGAACAGACTCCATTTTGTATGTAGAATCGTATTTCAGAATAAAAAACACATCTTTCCATTTAAAATAAGAAAATGACCCTCACTCCTCTCCAGAGAGTGAAGGGGCAAATGTCAAAAATATCGTAAAATGTGTCCCCCCGTGAACTTATTACGTCACCAAAATGTCAAAAAAAAATTTGCAGCTGTTTTTGACATATCGCATTGTAACACTTTAAAAAACTCACCCTGTATAAATATCATGAACTCTGTCATATTAAAAGCTATATATAATAATTATAAAACAAAAAAACTGTTTGACTAGGTTAACAGAAGGCATATAGAAAGTAGGATTTTCCCATCGAGCTTTAAACTGTTAGAGGGATCAACAAGCATATTTGTTTTGTTCCATAATGAGGTAGCGGGGTCAGAGGGGTGATTCATCCGATTAACAAAACGAAAAAAGGCCCTGTTGCCGAATTTTTTCCTGTTGGAATAATAATCTCGATAATAATGAATATCATCATCATCATCTATCGAAAAGCATCTATTTCAAATTTGTCTGCTTATAATAATATTAAAAATATACTTGCGACTTTTTAAGTCTATACTTAAAATAATTCTAAAACAACAATACCTTTTATCACGACTCAATTTGGTTTTAAATGGAACTACGTACTTACTTCTAAAGAAAGATTTTACAGTCTGGCAATAACGTAGTAATTGTTTTGTGTTCTCATGGTGTTCTCAACTTTCTTGTGACAAATCAGCTGACTGCGTTCGAGAACCTGGTGTGTCGTATAAAAATCACACAGCTGCCGTTCGGAAAGGCGAAGTGTGGATTAAAATCATATGGTTTTCGGCGTTCGGAAGGGTGTTTGACACGTATTGATGTGCGCACCGAATACTCTAGCGTGAAATTTAAGCTCACATTTTGAAGCTGCACTCCCTGAAATAATTTCCACACCAACAACCAGGTTTTCGAACGCAGCTCTCTGATACCCAAAACATAAACAGACTGGTTTATAAACATTCTATTTTCATAAGTGCGAGAAAGAGGGCCTGGTCTCATTCTGGAACCAAACAAATTCTATAGCACATTATTATCGTTATTAGTCTAGAGAGAGAGAGTGTTCAATGGTCGAAGGATTTTCCAATTAAAGGGAAAACGGTAATTTCAGTTATCAAAATTATATTCTGCATATGACTAGCGAACTCTATTGGAGGGCTTTCAAACTATGTCACTAAGGGTGTAAATAGAATGAACGATACCAGAACCAATAAGGAAAGAGCAATAAGGAATATGGGAGAGGGCTAGGTACTAACAGCTAGCCAAGAGCTGCTAGGAATGGTACCCTGAAGAAATAGGGGTTGGTTCTCTCTCGCTTATTTAAGCGAGAGTTGATGAAGCTTTCGGCAGTTAACGTCGGAAATTGTTAGAGTAAAATCTTAACGAGTTAGTGTTCGTCACAGTCGTCGCTCGATCCGTTCTTCGTTCTTATCCTAAGTTCATCTACCACTCAGTGATTAGTGAAAAGCTCTCCAAAGAAGGTGATGGTTCATTTCAATTCAATTTTCTTTTAAAATCTGTTTTTTTTTGTTTCTCTAAATCTTTAATTGGAAACCAAACATTGTCTTCATTAATTTTATTTTTTTCTATTTTTTATTATTCATTCTTTTTTTAAAACATAAATAATATACATAAATAATATAAATGACATAAATGTTTTCATATTCGTAAACCTAAATTTTTATTTACCTACTACACTTTACGTTCCTATAGATATGTATAGGAGATAGGAGCACAAAACTTGTTATTGCCATACCAACTTTGCATGTTTGTAACATTTCATTAAATTTACCATAAAGTTATTTTGAGTTTTAATAATATAGATAACAGAAAACAGATGAACTCAAATCAAATCAAATCAAAATAAGCTTTATATTACGCATGCATCATAATCAACGATTATCGCACGCAGCAGCGTGCATAAAATGATGTTTATGATGCGCCTACCTTTTCAAAGGTTTGCTATAGAAACGTTTGATCTACCTTCATTACCTAGATATTCACCTGTCGTTTAAATTACTATTCATCAAAATGAATGAACACATTTAAAACATTTTTGAGATTATGATGCATTTGTAATATAAAATAGCGTATGATATGCGTGTATAAGAGGCCTTTAAAGCCCTTGCGACTTATATGTCGCGCGTGCTTTAAAGGCCCTCTTATACACTTATATCATAATATACTATTATTGTCAGAAAACCAAAGAGAAAAAAAGTCTTATTGACAAAGCAAATACTTAAAGCTAGATTATGTCTAGGATTACAATAATTTTCAATAATGAATACGACATAAGCATAAATAAAATGTAAAAAAAATTAACAAACAAATAATGAAAACAAACGCTGAAAAATTAGAATCCGTCGATAAAATCCAATGACGTATTATAGGCAAACATTTCGAAACATTAAAAAAAAATAAAAATAAAATAAAATAAAATCAAAATAAAGTCAAAATAAAATCAAAATAAAATCAAAATAAAATAAAAATAAAATAAAATAAAAACTAGCAGGCACCGATTGACACAAGTTAAAACAATAGACAATGAATAGACACATTTAATTTTCATAAAATTCGCCAATACTATAGTATGCCTTGGCGACTAGATGGTTCTTTACAAGCTTTCTAAAATTTTCATAAGTACCACTATTCTTAATTTCCTCAGGCAGATGGTTGAACATTTTAATACTCTCATAGATAATGGACCGTTTTGTTAAGGCGTACTTTGGTATTGGTAAGGGTAATTTGACTTGACGCAGATTATAACTGCTATTCTGTACAAAACCAGAGAACTTCTTATAAATCAAACTCGCAGATTCCAAAACAAAAATACAAGGCACCGTCAATATCCCCTCCCGCCTAAATAATGGTCGACACGATTCCTAACTAGTTTTAACGTAAATAATTAAAAATATGAATAAATATCCAAATTTTGATATATATCCGATATATATCGGATAATTGGATATTTATATAAATATCATGATATTTGCCAACCCTGGTTTAAGAAAATTAATAGTTCTAGTCACAGATGTTCTAGTTACATATTGACAATTATTGGTACACAGGGTGTCAATTACTGGAATTTCATTTATTACTGATCGATATCAAAAAAAAATACCTCAAAGAGCAGATGAATGAAATTCTAGCAGCTGTGGTTTATTATTACTCATTCTATATACTCATGTACTGAGAAAAAAAAAAGTTTCTTGTGTCAATGACTGGGGTGTCAATAATTGGATAATAGGTGTCAATTACTGAGTCCCCAAAGATACATTTAAATTCCATAAGAGAGTCTAATTGTGTCAATTACTGGTGCATTTACTATTATCGGCACTTTCCATAAGAACTTACTGTGTTATAGAGAGACAAAGAAAAGAATTTTGGTAGGAAATTACTAAAAAGTTGAAAAAAAAAATCGAATAAATGCGAAAAGTCATAGGTTTTGGGACAGAAGCTCTTGAAATCTAAAATCGAAAATAAAGGGCCGTATTTAAAAAAATTAAGTTGATGATGGTAGCCCAAAGACGAAACGTCAGATTTTAAATTTGAAAATGTCATAGTGTAGAGTAGAAGAGGTTGACAGTTATCTTGAAATATCTCCTCAAATTAGCTCAGAAAAAAATTAAATCGGTTTTACAAAATTTTGTTTTTTTCCAAATATCTCGGAAAATATTCCGAATTTTTCAAATATCAAAGTACCATTTTATTGAGCCTAAACATCGTAACTCTTATCTTGGACACACTGTATATTAGAAATTAAAATTAAAATTGCAAGTTGAGATCCACGAGTTTCTATATCTAATATGTAGTATATCATTATAATAATCTCAAAAATATTTGACTCTAAAGCAAAGGTAATTCAACTTGAAAATTACTGGTAGCGCCTTCCACGAACGAATCGTTATGGCTTTATAATTATTATTGTTATTCGAACATTTACAAATATGTTTTAGGAAATTGAATTTAATTATTCTGTATTCATCAAGTGTTACTTTGAAACTCTTTTGAGGTAATATAATATAGTATACTGGCATTTGGAAGGTTGTATAACAAGACATTATACAAATCAGATATTGTCCAAGGGTGTCAGGGAATTTAAAGTTTATTTATAAAAAAACCTAAAATCTGTTTTTTTTTTTTAATATTTAGTAATTTATATTGGCAACACAAGCCTTTTCTACATAAAAAATTTGAAAGCATTGACAATTTTACATTGTATTGCCAACATAATAATATCATTTTGACTTTTATCTTCAAAAAAAGCAGACTTTAGAATTTACTCATCTGAAAATTTTATAAAGTCTACGAATTTCAGATAAAAGAGAATGACTTCTTGACGTTTGACGCTATGAGACACGCTGCCCAATGCGTAGGTCGAGCAATCAGAGGAAAAACCGATTACGGCATTATGGTGTTTGCCGATAAACGATTTTCACGGGCAGACAAAAGATCGAAATTACCCAAATGGATTCAAGAGCATTTAAAGGATAGTTTGTGTAATTTGTCGACGGAGGAAGGAGTGCAGGTAAGAAATGTCTTTTTTCTAATTTTGACATTTAAAATGACACTTTTCAAAACTCGTTGACGTTATCAAATGTCTTACTTTTCATCACCAGTTACGAAAAGTGGAATTTTTCGCAACAGGTGATGAAAAAGTGAATTTCACCATTACTTGCAAAAAATACAGGAACAAAATCTGTGATACTTTTGGGCTGAACGACTTGAAGTACTTTGGTATTATATTCTTTGTGCTGGGTGGTCCAAATTGGACACTTTCTCATGGAGACACCCTTTATTTTTAGAGATAGGAAAAAATTGACCCCCCTCTCTGAGGCTCAAATTTCATGAAATCTTGATTGGTGCAAACCGCATTTTGATATCTTCAACCGTTTAGCCGCTAGGGGGCGATTCTCGATTTTGAGCAATACTGTAAAAACTTCATAACTTTTCCGTAAAGACTTTCTAGAAGCACTTTTTTAATTAGAGTTCAGTGACGTTTTCAGTTTTTTTCTATTTAGCTCCGATTTCGAGATACCTATTGACCAAAATCCGATTTTATTCAATAGAACACCCTACATATGGACAGCTCATCAAAAAGTTCTGCTTTTGTTGATTTCGATGATATAAAGTTCAATAGGTTTATTTCTAACTGTTTCCGAGAAACAAAATGATTTCGGATTTTGTCATAAGAAACAATGTGTTGGAAAAAGACTTTATATCTGTAAGGCAAATGAGAAAGGACTCTTTCTAACACATTGTTTCTTATGACAAAAACAGAAATAATTTTTTTTTCTCGAAAACTGTTGGATAAACCTATCGAACTTTATATCATTGAAATCAGCAAAAGCATAACTTTCCAATAAGCTATTAATATATAGGGTGCTCTAGTGTTCTATTGAAAAAAGTTGGATTTTTGTCAATATCTCGAAATCGGAGCCACATAGAAAAAAAAATAAAAAAATTGAAAACTTCACTAAGTTCTGTTTCAAAAAGTGCTTGTAGAAAGTTGAACCAAATATCAACATATATGGTATATTTGGAATCAGAAGAAAAAAAATCTATCATTTTAGGCAAAAATATACAGGGTGTCCTATTTGAAAAATGCAAGTGTTTGTCATTGTGACAGTTGGCACCTTTCATTTGCCCATTTTGACATTCGCAAAAGATAATAGACATAAAATCATACAACTTTCATATTTATTTTTTTATTAAAGTTTTTTTTCACCTTGTATAGCTAAAGCTGTAGGTATGGGTCAAACTATAAGGAAACACCCGGTATCTATCTACCTTTTTTTTTTAGATTGCGAAAAGATGGTTAAGGCAGATGGCGCAACCATTCACAAGGGAAGACCAGCTTGGAGTGTCACTACTCACACTAGAGCAACTTCAAAACATGGAAGAAAAAAAGCTGCAAGAGCAAGCCCACCAAAGGATGGATGTAGCGTAATATTGAATATCAATGCCACTTTGTAATTTACAGGCGATTCTCATTTAATCAGTAGCCTGGCACAGCGCCTTTTCTCAGAGAGACAATTATTATTGTTATTTTGATATCTATTCTGATGGCATTGCTTGCCGATATGTACAGTTGCGATCAAAAAAAAGTAGTACAAAAAAATCTCCTGGTCTATTATACATTAATTTAATTCATAACCAAAATGACATATTTTTGGTATTTTTTGACAAGTTTTTAACCTAGAAAGCTTCAGATGACATTAATTTAGCATTTTTCCACCCATTTTTAACCTAGAATATGTCATTGTCAGAACTCAACATATTTTGAAATGTTTATTTGGTGTCAAAATTTTGTATAATACACCGGGAGCTCAAATTGGGGTTAATAATTTTTGTGCTACTTTTTTTTGATTGCAACTGTACCTATATTATTTTCGATGTATTTATTGTGGAACTAAAAATAAATAAGTACTGAGATTTTCATTTATTGCTTGGAGCGTAATTTTGTGATCAAATATTGAAATAATGGACGGATCAAAAAGCTTGAGTACTAAAAATTTTATTTGATTGTACAGGGTGTTTCAAACTGCAGCCACATCATTGGGATCTCGGAAACAGTGAAAGATACAGGGTTGGTTAAATTTGGGCGTAATTTGATGCTTAACAAAATGCCGCTTTGATTTTTAGGATATTCCGAATAGTTACGGAAATATCCGGAAAAAACCAAAATTTTGCAAAATTGTTTTTATTTTTTCTTGACTTTATTTGAAGTGATATTTCAAAAAAATAGTATATTATGCAATGATCATGTAATGATAGCCATTAATACACAAACACGTAGGATACGAAACGAGCCGCAGGCGAGTTTCGTATAGGTATAACATGCGAGTGTATTAAGGTTTAAAGTCAGGCCTATAGTTTATTACAGCAACGCGAGATGTCAATGTTGTCGCCTCTATAGTGTGTCCTAACTTGACTGTCAAAAAAAATAGAAATCTGCATTTGGTTCAATTATGTGATGGGACGTTTTTTCTTTTTTTGACGGAAATTCGAAGTATTTGTACAGTGTAGCTACGGGCGTATTTCCAACTATTTTTGCAGTAGCGAGAAAACTACAAGTTCAAAAAATGTGAAAAAAATATATGTCGCGTAGAATTGCAATAGTAGTTCGTAATAAAAATAATGGGAAACTTCATCTTTTCGTTTTGAAATAAATGATGAAAAACTACTTTTTTTTTTTCAGTTTTTGCGATATAACTCAAAAATGGCGAGTCAAATTTGCTTAAAAAAATTATGGATTAATAAAAACATATATTTTTTTTTGGAATTTTTGAACACAAGGTTCAGAAAATAGGGGTTGACTTGAAACCTTAATGACCATTATATGAGAGTTGCATACACTATTTTTTCTACTGCCATTGATAAAACTTATGATTTTTAGATATGTCAACATTATGCTTAACTTTGAATATAGCTATTTATACAATAAGTTACGAAATGAGCGTCTTTTAGGCACGCGACGTGAAAATTGTCCAACGAGGCAAAGCCGAGTTGGACAACACGTCGAGTGACTAAAAGACATCGTTTCGAAACGTATTGTATACAAGATTTTTTCTACTGGCATTTTATAATAAAAAAACACAATTTTATTTCATGTGAATAAGTCGATTACACCCAAAATCTTTGTTACCTGCTTTTACTTGACACCTGACACTTTTCATGCGATTTTCTTTTCAAAATTCGACATCAATAATTAAAATCCTAGAAAGTAGGTAATAACACAAACTTCTGTTTTGAGTAACCCAAACGTTCAATTCAGTAATTCCATTTTCAATATTCATAATAAATGCAAAACAAAATTCAAATCTGTGTTCAGTGTGTTTTTTATTTCTGAATAATGGATGACACTTTTAGGCACTAGTGCTTAAAAATTACTTTTACGCACTCATAAGTCACTTTTACGCATTCAAAAGTCACTTTTACGCACTGAGTGCCTAAAAGTAACTTTCACGCACTCAGTGCCTAAAAGAATGTCGTTTCAAAACTGAAATGACAATCGAAAAGTTGCTATTATGAAACGTCAGTAGAAAAAAGATTTTATAATTGAGTAAAGTTTCATTTTTTGTTGTAATTCTTCAAAATATACTATCAAAACATTTTCTGAGAAGAACGATGTGTTTTTGGTGTTTTTCCAATCCATAAATTGTCCATATAATTTTTCGTAAATTTTCTTAGACTTTTTTAATAAAATTAATTGTTTTTCGCTAAATTACCATGGAAAAACTATAAACAGACTGCTGTCAAAATTCAAAAAAAAAAAAAAATCAAAATTTTGTGGCGTCATTGTTCCGCGAGTCCGTTGTGTTCAACCCTGAATGGCTCAACTATTGTGTACAACCCTGGCGGCCTGACGTGACGTGACAGAAGATAGCTGTCCCAGGTTGTTGTTTACTTCTAGTCAGCTTGTGGCCGCGCAATTATGATATCGTGTTGTTGTTAACAAAATAAAGTATTTCGATTTATTTGTATGTTCAGTGCCCAGAATTAAACCGAGTTATTAGTGAAACAGTGTTTTCATTCGCCGGTGATATATCAAGCAAACACATAGCAGTAGTAGCTATAACTGGTGACCCCGACGTGATATATCTCCGCGTACCACTCGGCCTCTAACCTAAAAGACGTGTCTGACTACTAAAAAATCAAGATGCAAAGCAATTTCGACTCCTCAGTAGATCCTGATCAGCAATTGGCTGCAAACAGCTCTTTTACCAACCAGCAACCAGACAGGAGTTCGTCAGTGAGTATTCCTATGCCTCAACCTTCTGGCCCTCACGGCAGTACAGCATTTGATCCCGCGGTGCATTTTAATCCAACAAATCACCCGGTGAGCTATCAGCAAGCATATGCCCAACCAGTAGTAAATTCGTTGCCAGCCCCCATGATGCTCAACCAGCAGCAGAGTTATGCCATTGACGCAGTTTACAACTGCAATCTGCCACCCTTTTGGCGTTCTCGTCCAGACCTATGGTTCCTGCAGATTGAATCAGTCTTTCAAGCCCATCGTATACAGTCCGATAGCACCAAGTACTATCAATTGGTAAAATCACTGGACCCGGACACAATCACGGAAGTTGCAGACATCTTGAAGGCTCCACCACCTCAAGATAAGTACCAAAATCTCAAGTCTAACCTAATAAGTAGACTAACAGCCTCCGAAGACTCTCAGATGCACAAACTGCTCACTGATCTAGAACTAGGTGACCGAAAACCCTCACAGTTGCTTCGTGAAATGCGAGCCCTTGCCGGCAATCGTGCTACAGAAGACGTGCTCCGCATACGATGGCTGGCCCTTCTGCCTGTCAGCATTCAGCACTTGCTGAAAATTTTCAAGGCCAATTCACTTAACCGTCAACCAGAGCTCTCGCCAGCATGGACATGGTTCTTCAGTAGCCTCCGAGCTGAACGAACTCAGACAAGCCATCACAGAACTAACCATTGCTCAGAAGGACCTCACTTCTGCCATCAGACAGAGTCTCACCTCTGCCAGTCGACAACCACGTGAGCGTTCTGTCACTTCTGGAGAATGCCGATATCATCGAAAATTCGGTGCCCGGGCCCAAAAATGTGTGCAACCCTGCACATCTCAGCTGCCACTCGCATCTCCGCGCCAGGAAAACTAAATATGCTGTCGCCTGTTCAGGTGGTAAGCGACAGCAATGTCAACAGCACCTGCCTCCCATCTAAAGAAAGTCGCCTGCACGTCATAGACAAGGTCACTGGCATGAAGTTCCTTATCGACAGTGGTTCCGTTGTATCCTTGATTCCAAGAAGCTTCTTTCAACGAAAACTTCTGCCTGCTGACCTCATGCTATATGCAGCCAATGCAACAGTTATCAAAACGTATGGTCAACACTTTCTTAACCTCAATTTTGGACTCCGCAGATCCTTCAAATGGGCATTTATCATTGCAGACGTCAAATCAGCAATCATAGGTGCCGACCTGCTTTCACATCATGGCCTCCTTCCTGATTTAAAGCACAAGCGCCTTCTGGACTCTCTCACCTCACTGTCTTCTCCTGCTGAAATGCATGAAACCGAACTTCATACTGTTTCCACTGTCAATAATGCAGAATATGCACCTCCTACACTCAGTCAACCCTATAGCAAGTTGCTGGAAGAGTTTATTGACATCACCCGTCCAAGGTCAGCCCCATCAGTGGACGCCCCTACAGGAACTCATCACCACATAGTCACCACTGGACCGCCAGTCAATGACCGTCCACGTCGGCTAAACTCAGAGAAACTAAAGATTGCTAAAGAGGATTTCGACCTCCTGTTGCATCATGCTGTTATCCGTCCCTCCAGCAGTCCATGGGCAGTCCTCTACACATGGTCCAGAAAAAGCAAGGTGGATGGCGTTCCACAGGTGATTTTAGGAGGCTCAATTCCCAGACTGTGCCAGATCGGTACCTCATACCACTACCAGAAGACATCTTTCAGCGGCTGCATGGGAAAAGTGTCTTCACTGTCATTGACCTGGTTCGAGCTTACCACCAAATTCCTGTAGCTCCAGAGGACATACCCAAAACAGCGATAACTACTCCTTTTGGGCTTTTTGAGTTCCTGGGTATGCCTCCAGGCCTGCGCAATGCCACTCAGACATTTCAACGTCATATGGACAACCTTCTCCGTGGTATTGACTTCGCAGCATGCTACATTGATGACTTGATAGTGTTCTCGGATTCCCATGAGGAACATCTGCAACATCTACGCAAAATCTTTAATGTTCTGCGTGAGAACAAACTCACTATCAACCTCAGCAAGTGCCAAATCAACAAGTCAGAAGTTATGTACCTCGGCTACTCCATCAACAAGCTCGGATACAAACCACCTGATTCCAAGATCCAAGCCATCGCTTCTTACTCCAAGCCAGAGACCATCTCTGACCTTCGTAAGTTTTTGGGAATGCTCAATTATTACCGTCGCTGTATTCCAAAGGCCGCTGAACTTCAAGCCCCACTCAATGCATTTATGAAGGGTGCCAAGAAAAAAGACAAACGGCCCATCCCTTGGACACCCAGCTCAGAGAAGGCCTACCAAGACTGTGTAGAAAGCATTGTCAAAGCGACTTGTACCAGCTTCATCTAACCCTCTGCAAGTCTCGCACTCGTCACTGATGCCTCGGACTTCGCCATTGGAGCTGCACTTGAACAGCTGATCGACGACTGCTGGAAGCCCATAGGTTTTTTTTTCCCGCAAGTTGAGTCCCACCGAAACGCGATACAGCACCTACGATCGCGAGCTGCTAGCGATTTTCGCTGCAATAAAGTTCTTTCGTCACCAGCTGGAAGGACGCCAGTTCATCATCAAAACTGATCATCGCCCACTGGTATACGCCTTTGCTCAGCGCGCTGAAAAAGCATCCCCCAGACAGCTCCATCAACTGGACTTTATTTCACAATTCAGCACAGAAATCGTCTATGTCAAGGGAGAACACAACGCCGTTGCTGACGCCCTGTCTCGTATTAACGCTATCTCCATGCCAACGTCACTGTCTCCTAAAGCCATCGAAGCCGCACAGCTTGAAGACCAAGATACGCCACAAGAATCAT